TACCAGTACATACCAAACCCTAAACCTAACCATTACCAGTACATATCTAACCCTAAACCTAACCATTACCAGTACATACTTAACCCTAAATCTAGCCATTACCAGTACATACCTATTCCTAAATCTAGCCATTACCAGTACATACCTAACCCTAAATCTAACCATTACCAGTACACATCTAACCGTAACCCTAAGCATTACCAGTACATACCAAACCCTAAACCTAACCATTACCAGTACATACCAAACCCTAAACCTAACCATTACCAGTACATATCTAACCCTAAACCTAACCATTACCAGTACATACCTAACCCTAAACCTAATCATTACCAGTACACATCTAACCCTAAACCTAACCATTACCAGTACACATCTAACCGTAAGCCTAACCATTACCAGTACATACCCAACCCTAAACCTAACCATTACCAGTACATACCTATTCCTAAATCTAACCCATCCTCAATGCACACCTCAGTCCTAACCCCTAACCCAGGGGTTCCCAACCCTGGTCCTTGAGGAACACCGTCCTGCATGTTTTAGTTGTTTCTCTGCTCCAACACACCTGATTCAGTGGTTTAATTACTTCCTGAAGTTCGGCAGAGGCCTGTTAATCATCCTTTCATTCAAATCAGGTGTGCTGGAGCAGAGGAACAACTAAAACAAGCAGGGTGGTGTTCCTCAGGGACCATGATTGGGAACCACTACCCTAACTCACCAACGATACTTGAACCTTATGGGGAACAGGCTTTGGTCCTCACAAAGTACCATAAATGAGCACACACACACACTTATAACACTAACTGGGTTATCAGCGAGAGGCCAAAGTCAGAACTGGGTCACTCAAATGGATCGATCTGATCTCTTCACCAGAGACTCTCATCACACGAAGAACGCCGTCGTTTTCATTTAACGTTTGTTTTTAAAGCAGCGTTCACGTTCAGCTACAGAACGCTCAGCAGAGCGGACGACAAACTGCTCGTTCAGAAACGTGAATCCCAGAGGAGGTTCAGGGGTTTCCAGAATGACTAAACATTTTCCAAACTGCTGGCGAACACGGCCCAACGGTCCAGTACATCCCGCAAACACTGGGAACAGAGCGCTGCAGTGTTGCTCTCTCTCTCACCACAGCCCGAGGCTCGCTCGCTCTAAACCCACTCCAGACCTGTAATTTGGCTCCAGATCTGGGTCTTCACACTGCAGCGGACCCAGAAACAAGAACTCGTTCCGTCACAGCAGGACTCGGCGAGGAAGAGTTTATTTTTGGCTCTCAGGAGTCCCTTCTCAGAGTTCTTCCCCAGCCTGACAACAAGGGCAGAGTGTGTCTGCAGCCTTTGACCTCTGACCTCTGCAGGCTCTCCCATGACTGTTTGTCAAAGACCTTGACGAGGCGAAGGCGATAACATTTTTGCCCATCTGTCTCCGTGTGTAATCATTAGGCTGTTAGGAAAATTTCTCATGAATCACTAGAGTTGAATGAAAGTGGCCGTTGGGTTGTCATCTACAGCCACGGAGCTTTCACACTATTGTGATCCATTTTTCTTATGTACGTTTTTCAGCATCTTCCTCGTTCCACAATTTTTGTGCTATCTGTTCAGCTCGTTCAGGAGAAGGGTGCTATGACTTTTGGCATTGGTGCAACTTTAGCTTTTGAAATATTTAGCCTTTTCTGACATTTTTTTCCTCATAGAAAATGAATTGAGCTCATTTTACATCCTTTAGATCTTTAGATCTGTTTACAACCTTTTATTGCTCCTTTCACATTTTGTTCTGATTCAGCTACTTTCAGATTCTTTGTGCAATTAAAACTTTTTTCAGCTATTTTCAGCTGTTTTGTGCTCTTTCAGATTTTTTTTGCTAACTACAACATTTTTATGCTTTTTCTAACTTCTTTCTGCTAATTTCAGCTCGTTTTGCTCCTTTCAGCTTATTTCTGCAAGTTTTAGCTTCTATTTCAGCTACTATTTAGCTGTTTTCATGCTAATTTTAGCATTTTTGGCTAAGTCCACATTTATTTGCACTAATTTAAAAAGTTTTTTCTGCCTAATTCAGAAAAAATATGCTCTCTTCACTTCCGTCTTTCTGCCTTTTAGCTACTTTTCTGCTGTTTATCTTTTTGCGAATTTCAGCTTTTTTCAGATAATTTCCACTTCTTTGGGCTCATTTCGGCTTCTTTCAGCCTAACTGGGCAACCCTCTTCTTTCTGCTTTCGTCTGCTAATTTAAGCTTGTTCTCCCTTTTCAGCTACGTTTTAGCATTTTTAAGCTAATTTCAGCTGTTTTCAGATAAATTCAAATTTTCATGTTAATTTCTGTTAATTTCAGCCTAAAGAAATTCTTTATGCTAATTTCAGCTTGTTATGCTCCTTTCAGTTTTTTTATGCTAGATTAAGCTATTTCGGTTACTATTTAGCTGTTTTTATGCTAATTTTAGCTTCTTTTTTAATCTCATTCCACTTTTTTTTTTAGCTCTTTTCAGCTTCTTCTGCTTCCTTATGGTAGCTTAAGCATCTGTTTGCCTTTTCAGCTACTTTTCAGCTTTTTTGTGGCTAATTTAAGCTTTTTTAGCTAATTTTCCTAATTTTTTGTGCTAATTTCTGCTTATTAAACCTAATCAATCAAATATGTGTTCTTTCTGCTTTCTACCAATTTAGGCTTTTTCTTCCATTTCAGCTACATTTCAGGATGGTTTTTTTTTTTAGCTGATTTCAGTTGTTTTTCAGCAAGTTATTCTGCAGTAAGCATTCGCACTGCGTTTTCGCAGGAAATGCAATGTCTCTTCACTTTTGGAGTTCAGTCTATTCAAGATGGCCACCACAGCAAAGCAATCATTAACACAGAAATGCCTGCCAACCATCTAAATATAGACCTACGTGGAGTGGTAGTAGCCGAGAGCTATTTAAACACATACTTTGAGGGCTAACCTGTTTTATTTTTTTAAAGTTTGACCAAAATAGCTTCACCTCCTTCATTTCTCAACACGTGATCTTTGTCTAAAACTCTGGCGGGTGACGTGCATCCCTTCAAGGAAGACTAGACCTTCAGTTTATTCACATAACAGATAAACTAGGTCAATAAAGTATTCAGAGCAATTAGTGCAATAAAACTAAACGTTGTGGCTTTTTCTGAGGAATAATTAAACATAGCAGCTACATTCTCAGGTTTTATGTAGCTCAAAAACATTGGAATGAAAATTAGTTTTTATGATGCTTAAGGTGAAAAATCACACAATTCCGCATAAGAACTTTTAGCTACAGTTATTAGACTTTAATAATAGTTTTGTTACAAGACGCGTGTTTTGACCTTTTACCGACAAATGAATCAGAATTTTTCAGTTTCTACAAAAGTGGGCTCATTTTCCCTCTACTTTGAAGAACCACACCTTGGAGCACACAGAAGAATAAAAACTGTCAGCTCATACAGGAAACTGTAAGCACACATGGATTCAATGGTGGTGTGCAGCATCCTGTGACCCCCTCAGATCCTGTGACCCGATTAGGAACTTAAATGTGGCCTTGTGCACCTTGAACGCAACCTGAACTCTCTTTCCGAGTAGACAACACTGAACAGAAAAGCCAAAACATAAAATCAGCAATGCACGCCTGCAGGCTGTAAAACCAGACATTTCAAAAGTCCCTTAAACACCCTGATTTATCTTAAATATGTCTGGGTGACATTTGTTCCACCTAAAAGTCGTTATAGAGCATTGATTGTACTCAGTTCTCTTGTGAGAGTCATTTAAAATGCCTGTAATGACTCTTGTGTACAGCAGATTAATAATTTACTGCCTAATCTGCCCTTCAGGGACGTGGTTCAGCTGGGTAGCTTCAGCTGAACCTGTTACATGTGAAATCCTTTGAATCTCTCCTGTGATCTTCCATGAAGTCCTCTGCTGTGATTTGAGGTTTGTAATGAAAACATACTCACCAAAAGGCTGGAAGGAGAGCAGAGTATCAGCTGAAGAAATGCACACTGAGCTCAGAAAGCAGCTGCAGCTCTCTCAAAGCCTCTCTCTGCCTCTGAGGTGTGGCTCCAACCAGGAAATCCATCCTCTTTTTCACCAAAGAACCTCATTTTTCTCTTTTCTCCTCCCTCTTTTTGTTTCTGTTCAGGCAAACAGCGCCCCCTGCTGGCAAACACCGCACACAGCAAAGGCTTCTTCAGAGCCATAAATGGAGACACAAAGCTGCCAAATACCATAAACTCTTAAAATGCCACTGATCTTTGTCAGTATTAAACATGGTGCAGAAAAAAAAACAGCTGTTTGCTCCAATTAAAGTTAAAGTTTTACATTTTATTTTTGTTTTGGGGTGGATGTCAGCCCTGTTGTGTTGTCAAACATGCAGTGATGCTGTTGTTTCATTTCTGAAGTCACTTCACTGGTTAAAGATGATGAGGTTTGTGGTGATTCTTGGGTTCTTTAAAAGTTTTCCACTAAACTTTCATTTTCATTATCACATGAATCTGAAAGGGGAATAAAACTATATTTAAATCTGTTTTACTAACCACACATCACCGGTCCTAAATAGGACAATCATACCGGAAATTTGCAGTGCCTTCAAAATAAAGTGGGCTATTTGTTAAAATGGAAAGAAAAAATCCACATGTATCTTAATGGTCAGGGGTCTGCAAACTTTAGGATCAAAAGAGACATTTCTGCCCCTTCGTTCACTAAATTAAATGTGTCCAGAGCCACAAAATCTGCTACAATTGTCATTATCAACTGGTGGCCCATGGGCCACTTTAAGTTTGTTAGAGGGGGCTTTTCTGTCCAGTAGCTATGAAATTATAAATCTAAAAACATCCAATGTTTGTTAAAATTTATTGATATATTTACATTTTAAGACAAAAGAAAAGACTGAATCCATCCGTTACCTTTACTCACTTCTTGTTTCAGATTGCAGGGGATCACTGGTTACAAGTCTATCACAGAAAACTGGATTATTGTGAAGAAAAAATATATATATTTTGCCAATTTAAAAACTAAATTAATGAATTGTTCAGGTTTATGTGATTTTTTTTTTTAAATTGTGGAGTAATTAAGTCAGTCAGTCAGAGTTTCTTTATTTTATTACTTTATTTTTTGAGTATCCTACTTTGAAGAAATAAAGCAAAAAGTTAAGGTGAGCATAATTTACTCTGTGAGTTAGTACAAGTATGCACATATTTGCAAAGGAAATGACAGGAAAACTGCTAAAACTAGTCTTTTTTGTTGTAGGTATAACATCCTATAAAATTCAGTTTTAAGTTAGTTTTGGTGAAAGCTTGAAAGAGCCGCAGCGGGGGGTCCAAAGAGCCGCATGTTGCAGACCCCTGTTAATGATTGTAAAATTATTTGTATGAGGTTAAAGACATTACCTCAAGCAGTTTATGTTGTTTAATCTAGTTTATTTATGTGGCTCCAATTTAAATCAAAAATCACATTATATGTTCAATAACATAAAGTCTTAAGTAACAATTATTAAAATAAATGTCTACAAGACATGTATTTTATTTTCAATCAGTGTTTGGCTTTTTTTTTATGTAAGCCTACTTTAATGTGGTGTCTTGTTTTTTGTAAGTGAGAAAAACAATTATTTTTTAAATGCAGATTTTAAATAGATAATAAAAATGTATTACGGAAGTCGTCCTTTTATTTTGAAATAAACAACCGGAAGTAGAATTGTACAGAACAGCTGATTTTGCGCGATGAGCTCATTGAACCTGCGGCAGAGCATCAGATGCGCCATCTGATTGAGCGGCATTAAAAAGCAGAACAAAAAGGGGAAGACATTTTTTATTTTGTTCCTCCAAAATAACAGACACCACCTTTTTTATTTTCGAACCGAAAACGATCTGATACATAAACAGGTAAATCAGCTTCGTTTTACTGTCATTTCTTCTTTACGTTTATTATTTTATTCTTTAAAGACAGAGATTAGATAAATAATACTGATAAGAAACACACCTTCTGAATATTAATAGAGCTATAGATTGTTGGGTTTTATTTTGCAGTAGAACCTTTTTATTAGGCTGTGTAATGCGCATGCGCTTCGCCGGCCAACGCCTCAAACTCAGACTGATGCTCCCCTGCAACAAATTAAAATAAATAATCAATAATCAGTAGCTACAACTTGTAAAAATTGATTCTTATTATTTATCTCTGTTCTTAATATGTAGTTGATCCGGGAAACAGCGCCGAAACTAAAATCGACATAAATCTGAATGGAGTTTGGCGGAAGGTTTATTTCAGGCTGCTGGGGACTCGGTGACCCGGTTTCTGTTTCAACGTTAAGAATAATCCGCATCTGTCCGAAAATAACTGATGATGGACCGGACCGAGACACAGAACCCCGTCCCATTACATCCATCTCTTCTGTCTGCCCATTAATGAGCTCAGATCACGTGATGGTGCTAATAAATCGGAAATCTGAGAAAACCCTTTAAAATGTATACAGTATAGAGAAGTTTTAATTATAGATCTGATTGTTTTTAAGTTATTTATGTAACGTAAGTACTGTGAAGTCACTTAAAAAGTGCATTTAGCGACTAAAAATAGTTAAAATACTCTATTATAACTTTCAGTGTTTTTTTTCTTCTCAAAGTAATTATATCTTTATTTATTTGTCAGTGGGAACATTTATTCAAAAATTAACTTCACAGGATGAAATCGGTTTATTTTGAACGTTTTCTTACAAGTAAAAAAAAAGGCACAAATAAATAACGAATACATCTTGAGCAGCAGGTGAAATTTAGGTTTAAGCAAACTAAAGAAAAAACTGGATTAAATACAATATGTACACAACACTGACACAAATGAGCAAAAAGTTATTTAAAAAATAAACCAGTAGCATACTCATACACAGGCTGGGTTTGAGTTCATTTTCAGGCTTTTTTCATATAAAATAGTAAGTTCAGAAAGACTTTGCATACAGGAACAGCTTTAATATATAAAAAAAGATTAAAAAGTATTTAATTATTTCTAACTTTTTTTTATTATTTTGACATCGCACATCAGATTTAGCCACAAACTAATTTCCATTTGGTCCCCAAGACAAGTTTAATGACATAAAAGCCTAAATAAAACTAATAAAGTATGATAAATATACCCAAACTAAATATTAAAATCATCCTATTTATATAAAATGGAGTTTGGATGTTTAAATAAACACAAAGATCAGCAGCTTATTTAAATTTACTTAGTCTTTTTTTTTTAATTTTGCATGAAAAAATATTTGAAATTAACATATTTTCAAGTCATCAGTAAGAAAGTTTTAATTCATCACTAAAACAAATTCCCTGAAAGCTGAGTTTTTTTCCCATGATGTTACGTTATTTTATTATGAATGTTTCTGGATTAATCCAAGTGTTTGCGCTTTACTTTTTTTAAATTTTAGACCTAAAGATGATGGAGAAATCAAGCAGCCAGTACGACTCCTTCCTGTTCTGGAGGCAACCGATCCCGGCTCTGGACATGTCGGAGCTGGAGGACCTGGGGTTGGCGGACAGCAGGCCGATCAGCAGCAGCAAACCAAAAGACAAGACGTCCCACCTGTGGAGCCAGGACAACGAGGTGAGACATTCATTTACATTTAATTAAAACGTGACTCCGTGATGTGAAATCATGTTTACTGTTCGTCCTCTGTGCATTGGAGCTGCAGGAGCCGCCGTCTGAGTTCTCCTCCTTCAACTACTGGAGAGCTCCAATCGCCGACGTGGACTCCCTGCTGGCGGACCTCAACCTGCTGCTCTGAAACCACCGCGATCCGAGCCCGGATCAGTCCCGCATCATTTCATTCACGCCGATAAGATCTAAATCCAGATCCGTCCAACTCTTTGACTTAACTCTGCTTTCCACAAACACTGAAGTAACGTTAAAGTGATCCTCGATGATTTGTTTAACATTCATAAGATGGAGTTTACATTAAGAGAAATTCAACTCTGGAAGGATCACGTTCAAGCGCTGCAGATTGTCAAAATATGCTTATGTTTATTATTTATTTAAAACTAGAGGATGAATGCATGACGTCACTGATTGACAGAATTATTGTTGTTATTCTGGGATTTTGTTGAGCAAAATCTATCTGATGTTAAATAAGGCTTCAATTTTCCCTTGTTGAAGTTTTTTTTTTTAAAGTTTAAATGTTTATTATATGAGGAGTTTGGTTCATATTTGTAACTTTTGTTCTATTTAAAGCTGCTTTAACACTAAATTTACATTTATTTCAGCTGTTGCATTATTAATGCGATTCAAATTTCTGAATGTTTAACACTTCCTTACAATAATGAAATATGATTTTATATACCCATGTTATTTTTTTTAATAAAGAAATTAAGCCCCAAGGAAAAATAAAAATCCATTTTGACCAAATCTCATTTAGGCTGGTTATTCCTCAGTCAGGAGAGACAGTTTTGCGCCATTTCTTTGCGCTTTTCTGGGATCAGCGTCTGCTTTAACTGTGCGATACCATAAACGGAAACTCTGCTGTTCAAACTGACCTCAGGTCAGTTTTAAAAGCATTCGCCAAAGCCCACCCACCCTGGCTTCCACCTCCGGTGTCGCGAGGCCGCCATATTTGTACCAGAAGAAAACACAAACAGTGAGTTTTTTTTTTAAAGGGTTCTAAGCAGGTAAACCCATGCTGGAATACGACTCACGAAAATAGACGTTTGGTTACGAGGCTTATCAAGAGAAAGCTGTAAAACCAGCGTCAATTTCACTCTTAACTGTTTTTATGAGTGTAAGCTAACGGCTAACACAGGTCGGCTGGCAAAATACCAAAATAAAAACAAAGTCTGCACTTCCTGTCGAGTCCTTCAGAATAAAATACATGCGCTACGTCCTAACTATAAATAAGTTTAAAAAATAAATTATCTACCGCTAACATTTTAATCAGTAATGGACCATTAATTACAGAAAATGTCCCGCAGTTATTTTATGAGTCAAGCGCAATTTTTATGTTAATTTGAGCATTTGTCTCAGAGTACTGGCGTTATCTTTGGAGAGATCCTGTCCTTTTTGCTCAAGAATGAATGTAAAAAAAATACAAGTATTATTCCTGCAGTGGTGAGTTTTACCAGCTATTAAATGTGCAATTATTAAAATTTAGAGAATAAAACTTACTTCCTATTATTTTATGTTGAAGGTTGAATCCGTAACATCCGGTTGTGCAGCGACCGCTTCTCGCTAACTTTCGCAGTAAACAAGCTTTGCAGTCTGACATGCTGCAGTGGTTCTAGGTGTCTCGGGCTTGCAAATTTTTTATTTAATCCTTCCCATCACTAGCTTTTCCTACGTATCGTGGAACAATAAAAGCGCAAAAGTCCCTCATTAAGAGGGGCTTGTTGAATTTAGCCGGCTAGCGTGCTAACATATTAGCAGAGAGGAGTAGCCTGGCTAGCCCCACAAAACTACAAACACGGTAAGTCGCCGTTCCGCAGTCCTACATTAGCAGCAGACATACATTTTCACAGATTCAACACCTTAAATTGTTACAAAATTAAAAGAGGCAAAAAAAATCCCATCACAAGAGTCTTCAGTAAGCGGTTTGACGGTTCACGCTCGTGAATGCATCTAACCGGATGTGGAAGTAGTTTTTTCTCCGTGTGTAAAATAGGAAATTTCTGTGTGACTTCCCCCGGAAAGCCAACAACTTAATATCAATCAGTTTCCTGTCTGTGCTACTGTAAATTTATCAACTGCGTAGATGAACACTTTTATGCCGTGAATGGCTGGATAGGCGCTTGGAGAGGAGAGCAGGGGGCTAACGTGGCACATGGCGGACTGTTTTCTGGCCACGAAGGCGCGTAAAATGGCTTCTCGGCCGCGGAGAGAAAAGTCTCGTCCTTCTTCGCCCATTCGCAATACTAAACCCTATACGTGCATTGGGTTCCATTATCGGACGCTTCGTTTAACAGTTTTCGTTCACAACAAAAAGTACTATTTTCACTTTTCAATCCGCACAGACACTCGTCACACCTCTTAAATTACGTGCTTGTTTTTCTTGTTCTTATTCTTTGCATCGTGTGGATTCTTTTAGCTGACTAAACCCTATTTGTACGTTTATACTCGGGACTTTTAAGTCAATTTTTTTGCTACTTTTAAATGTAATTTGCACTGTTAAGGTCTTCCTTACTAAGAGTTGTCACTAAAAAGTAACAAAATGCTCAGCAGAGGAACATTTAAAGAAGTTTGTTCAGATTTAGTCTTGTTTGGACCGCGGAGGGCATGTCCGATAATGGGCGCATGTCAGTTAGCTTTACAGGAGCGGAAGAAGCTAACTATTCTACTTCGTGTGAAAATAAAGTTTAACTTTTCAATAAAAAATAAAGCTTTCCGTGTTCGTGCTCCGTTCATGCAACAAAATAACGGGATTCTATGAAATTAAATTAAAACGTTGCTGTTTTATTTGGTAAATTAAAGCTTTCTTTGGTCTTACTGCGTTGCAGTTTTGTTAATATTTTGTCCCATGAAATGTGATAAAACACCCTGTAAATACTTCCACACTGTCCAAAGTATAAGTATAAGTTTTTGTTTGATAAAAGTCTGAAATGAAGCAGATTTACACGTAGAAAGTATTAATAGGATTTAGTATATCTTGATAACTTCTCAGTAGAAATATTCAATCATTAATGATGTAACCAGTTAATAACTCAGATATCTTTATTGTCATGTGGTACATGTGGCGGAACGAAATTATGTACACAGGGTCCCATTTACATCCAACAATAAAATGTAAAAAAAAAACAGTAATAACATCTAAGATATGAACTAAGACAAACATCAACTAAATATACATTAAGCACTAATAACACTAAAAACATTACGCTGAACAGCAGCACGAACATGAGTCTGTGTGAGCAGATGAGCACGCATGAACACATCAACATGAAACAGATCAGCAGCAACATGAAACAGATCAGCAGCATAATGTGGTTTTTCAGTGATTATCCTGGTTAGAGACTCATGAGTCTAACAGCCTCAGGGTAGAAGCTGTTCCTCAGTCTAGTGATTCTACACTTAATGCTCCTTAACCTCCTGCCTGAGGGGAGCAGGGCACAAAGTGTGCGCTGGGTGAGTGGGGTCCTTCATGATGCAGGATGCTCTCTTCCTGCATCTAGAGGTGTATAATAATACATCTATTCAAAGGTCTGAACTCAAGGATGGTTGTGGAGCAGTAGGGCAGCTGACTTGGGCTGGAAAGTTGCAGGTTTGAATCCTAGCCATGACCCCGTGTGTCATAGTGTCCTTGAGCGAGTAATTTACGGTAACTGCTCATTAGACAAATAGCTCCCCGCTCCACAACGGCAGTACAATTGTCATCATTGTATGAGAACATACAGATGACATTACAGAGCACATGAGTTTAACAAACATCTGGTGCGTTAATGTGTTAAACGCGGCAGCTGTGATAATATTTGTAGTGCGTTTGTATCAGTGTTTTGCAGCCACCAGTAACATCAGTTAAGACTGAGACCCGCTCATTCTGGGATGGCGGTGCCAAACGAGATAAAAGCAACTTCATTTTGCTTTTGAAGTTTGGTTTCAGTTGGACTTCTGTTAGATGGAGCAAAACAAAGAAGCCTTGTGAGGACCAGATTGCAGTAAGATAATTTAGGGTTGTTTCATGATCAGAACTGATCACTTGTATTGATCCGTCAGATGTCACTCGTGGACCTGGGGAAGAGGCTGCTGGAGGCGGCTCGAAAAGGGAACGACGACGAGGTCCGGAACCTGATGGCCAACGGAGCTCCGTTCACGACGGACTGGGTAAGAAACCTGCCTCTGGTGTCTCATGGAGAATTTTATTTTTTAAAACGTTGCTCTCACAAAGCGACAATTTCGCAGAAAGAGTGTTCTGACTCGGCCTGAGCAGCTTCTTCATGTGTGCTTCACCTGTGTGAGACTCATCTTGTGTGTCGAACAGTTGGGAACGTCCCCCCTCCACCTGGCCGCTCAGCACGGTCATTACTCCACGGCAGACGTCCTGCTGAGAGCAGGCGTCAGCAGAGACGCCCGCACCAAAGTGGACAGGACCCCGCTGCACATGGCTGCTGCTGAGGGACACACAGTCATCGTGGAGCTGCTGATCAGGGTAGGACTTCCTGCTTTCTGTTGACCTGCTGCAGATTTTAAGCTTTTTTGTTGTTCAGTGTGTATTTAGTTCTTAAACGCCTCCTCCATGTTGGCAGGAAGTGTCTCTGAACAGCTGTTTTCATTCTGCATCAAAACATACACAGGTTCTCGTTTGTTGCTCTTCCTGCCGTTGTTGTATTTATATTCCACACCTTTTAGTCTTATGATGAGCCTGTAACTGGTTTATTAAATATTTATAATTAGAAAATGTAAAGTTGTAGTTTTGACGTTCTTCTTGAAAAATCTTCTTTCAGAGCGGAGCCGACATCAACGCCAAAGACATGCTGAAGATGACGGCTCTTCACTGGGCAGCTCAGCACGGACACCACGGTGTGGCCGAGGCCCTCGTCAAGCACGGAGCCGACGTGCACGCTCGCAGTAAATTCGACAAGACGCCGTTCGACATCGCAGCCGACATCCAGCACACAGAGCTGATGTTGCTGCTGCAGGTGAGACAAACAACCTGAAGGAAAAACTTGTCACTTCAACAGGATTCTTCAGGCCAGAGGTTTAAAAATTCGTCGACAGGGTGAAAGTAAACGCAGAGCAAGAAAAGAGGAGTCATCATCAGTTTACCTCAGAAGAGCAAAGAACAAAAACTCACTTCTGATGTGAACACGTAAACATTTATTAGTAAAAAGCTGTTTCTTGTGCGTGCAGGCTGCAGAATCAGACGTTCAGTGGCTGACTGCTGTCAGGTAATCTGAAGGCAGGAAGTAAATAACGGGTGCACCTGCAGCTCGCTCGTGTCTCTGGGTCAGTACAAGCGAAAGAAAAACAATTTAGAAAGTTTAGTTTCTATCATGGACAGATTAAAAAATATATAAAGAAAATAATAAGTTAGGAAGAAATGACCAAAGAGTGGGTGACACAAGTAAGTTTGGCTCAAAACAAGGCCTCGTTTTTGGCTACTGATTCTGACGTGTCCGGAAGTCTGGAGAGTCGTCACGACAGTCCGGACTGTAATTTATAAAAATAAATAAATGCAATAAAATACCACAAATATTGTGTCAATTAAAAAAAAACTGAAATGTGCATTTTTTTTTGTTTGTTTGTTTTTTTTTACAAAAGACCCTTAAAGAGTTAAAAAAAAAAAGTTTTTTTTAATTATTATAATTATATTTTTATTTCAGGTTGAGATAACTTTAAAAGACTGACTAGTTTTTTGCATTTACACCAATAGTCATAAAGTTAAAGAGTTAAAACCGTCTTAGTCAAATGTAAACAATATGATGCTTTAGCTGTCGATCAGATTTTTTTTTGTCTAGTTACAGAAAACTGACGTTTTAAGCTGCGTGCATTCAGGAGGGACATTTTGTTACATGTACTGCTGCAAGATAAATCCAATGCAACATACTGGTAATTCTTTGTTACGCAGATTCTTGAAAATGTTATCTCGCTTTACAAAATTGATTGACAGCTGATTATGACTTCATAACGCTCTTCATGCCTGTGATGCAGGTAAGACATTTTCATCACTGATCAGTGTTTCAACAGTCTGCGTGCACCATTTTCACCACACAGAACATTATGTGTTGATGTTGGGAATGACTCTGGGCCTCTAAAAGTTAATGGGAAGGCTGATCGCAGCTTTACTGGTTTCACAAGTGGCTGTGACTCTGACGATAAGTCGTTCCCCTCTAATGACAAGGTTCAGTCCAAAGATGTTGGATAAGACTGTGAACCCCAAGTTACTCCCCCTGGTGGCACGTTTATGGTTCATATCTGCAGATTTTAACCCGTTACCTGCACATAAAACATTGTGCATTCATTTAAAGTCATTTTACAGAGAATCTTATTTTGTGTGTGTTTGCAGGAGAGCATGCAGAACCAGGTCAACATAAACCAGGTGAGCATGAACGTCGAGACCAGCAGCACCCCCAGCCAGCCGCAGTTCATCATCCAGGGCATTCCTGCTATCCAGGGGGGGGTAGTCAACCTGGCAGACCTTCTCAACAAGGCTAATGCAGGTACACACACACACTTTTACTATCACTGGTGGTTTTCTGTGCGTTTCATCACTTTGTTTAATTGTGCCTGTTTTTGTCCTTCAGGAGAGTCGGAGGAGGCGATGGCTGCCAGCGCCTTGGACTCCAACATCCAGCATGCCACTGTCGTCAACGAAGGTGGTCAGAGGGTCATCACCATAGTAACAGACCAGCACGGCAACCTGCAGACCACCGGGGGGATGTCGCAGCCGTTTTTTGTCACGATGCAGCACGGACAGCAGAGTACGGCACAGACCGCATTTATTCAGAGACATCCCAGCGTCGTTTTGTTGCCAAACGTTTGTTTTTTATTTTTTTATTTTTTGTTTTTAGTGCTGGCAGTACCAGCCAATACAGTGACGGAGGAGGTGGTCGCAGAAGAGCCCCAGCCTCCACCCTCCAGGAAGAGGAAGCTGGAGGTGACCAACAACCACAGCGAAACAGGAGAGACGGTCAGTAGAGCATGTTCATGATAAAAGAACTGTGATTATTTCCTTAAAGGTTTAGTTCAACTCTTTCCAGTGGGTTATGAGAAGTAGGCCTGTCGCAATAAATCAATTAATCGCATGATACATGAAAATTATCAACCTCATTTTCATTTATTGGCTTTATCGTTTCTTCGTGTCTCCTACTGAAGACACCGGATGACAAAAGGCTCAACTCCGGAGTTCTTCACTGACCCTTTCTCTTTAAAATCTGTTTAACCGTCCAAAACGTGTTTTTGGATTGTTAAAAGCAGCTAAGCTACGAGCTAAGCTAACAGGCCGACCTTGGGGGGGAAAAACCTCCGTCTTGTTGAAGCTCCAAAGTTCACAGTTGAAACCCGTGCCTTCGTGTAAAAAGTTGTTTTTCTCTGCAAAAAGAAGCTGAGAACTTGTTTACTGATTTTTTTAATTAAGCGCTTTGTGTGAAAAATACTATGCTAAAGAGCTCAAACCACACCGAGCATCCTTCCTGAAAAACAGGAAGGAGAGACAGCCCATGTCACGTCAAGGGGCCTCCCTCCCATTTTTCATAAAGTGACGCTGCTCGCTCCCTCACTATCCATCCTTCGGTTCAAACAGTTTTATACTGCCATCTGGTGGCAGAAAAAAGGCACTACACATAAAAAAAATTAAACATTTCTTCTTAAATTTAACAATAATTACTCATTTTTGTCCAATTTCAAACAATATTATTGTTTATCGCAATAATTTCTGAGACAATTAATCGCCCAGCGAAAATTGTTATCGTGACAGGCCTGACGAGAAGCAGATAAATAAAAACAGGCATGGGCAAAACTTCTGCCTTCAATGGTGGGAGATAAACATTATTGTAATGTAAATTCCCTTTAAGATCACGTTTTTATGTAACTTGTATTCCTACGTTTAGTTTAAATGATTCAGATGAAATTTGTCTTGTTTTAGCAAACTGAACATCTGAGTTTTATTTTTATTATTGATTCATCATAGAGCTTTGTTTCTTGTTTGAGACTAATGCAATTATAAACAATAAGTACTTGACAATAGATGAACTGCTTGAAAATGTCATTCTCAACATCTTTGATATGAGTTAGTTCAGATTCTGTTTATTTTTGTCACTGAACAGGATTCAGACTAAGAACTTGCTTCGGCATAAAGATGCAAATAAAACGTAAAAGATAAAAGAAAACATATGTTCACCAACAACACAATACAATATTCAGAAAAAATGAGCAGGATACGTTGGTTCTACCCACATGCTCTCTTTACTTTGGTCAGTTTTGCTTCAGTTCAAAAGGCTTCGATAAGTAAAACTTCTTCCTCCGCTCTTCTTTCCTGTTCAGGAGCTGCTGCAGAGACAACTGCAGGAAGCCAACAGGAAGGCTCAGGAGTACCGACAGCAGCTGCTGCGGAAGGAGCAGGAAGCCGAGGAGTACCGCATGAAGCTGGAGGCCATGGCCCAGAGTCAGGCCGGCGCCAACAATGCCGTCGGCGGCGCCACCAACGCTGCCAGTCCTGAGGAGGTGGTGGGAGGAGAGGACGAGGAGGAGGGGGCTGCTGGCGTGGTGGAAGAGGAGGGCGAGATGGTGGTGCTGCAGGAGGGCGGCATCATCATGGAGGGGGAGGAGGGTCAGGTGACTCTGGTGGAGACGGGAGGAGAGACAACTCAGGTCAGCTCCTAACGGAGAGAGGAGGAGACGCCAGTGAAAGCCATCAGAACAGCGGGGGCTGATGAGACTCATGGATTTAACAGACTGTGGGGGGTGAAGAAGCTGACTCGTGGCAGGAAGCGTGAACCGTCGCGAGTCTCCTGAATCCAGCAGGAGAGACGATGGAGGAGGAATCGCGGTGGTGTTCGTCATTTTAAATCTGAATCACCCGATGCTTTCAGGTCGGGGAGATCTGAGAGGACATTCTGCGTTTCCACCTTCTGGACGCCTCGTTTGTGACAGCAGTTAATTCGTCCTCTGAGCACACGGGACCTTTATTTGATGGTTTATTTTTACTTTTTTTATGTAACTTCCAGCAGATCCTCTGTGCAGGAAAAGACTCCTGAAGGTTGCGTAAACATTTTTGCTTCCCTGTTTTGAATTTGGAGTAAAAATGTGAAGAAAATCCCTGAGGACGTGCAGAATAAGTGAGATGAAGCAGGAAATTAGAGCGGTAGTTTGTCCCTTTTGCAACTTTCTGGATGCCGTTGATTATCCCCATACTAATCGTTTATACCTTTTTATTTACACGGTGTTTTTGTAAATCCCAGCGCTCGTCTAATGACGACTCATTCTGGTCCTCTTTATCGCAGGACTTTTCAACTAAACTGCTCGGGGGCCAGACATCCAGCAGTTATTGTCATTAAATAAGTTTGTTTTGTGCTTTAAAATCCAGTTTTATTTAAAAATGAACCCATTGTTGGGCCGAACTGAGCTCACCTGTGGGCCTGATTTGGCCCCCGGACCGCCAGTTGAATATCCCTGCACCAACTATTACCACAAACATGTTTTCCAGGATTGATTGGACTCTACAGGAACATCCTCTAACCTAAACGCCAACTTGTTTTATGCGTTTTGTTTCAATGTGTCTTAAAATCTAAATAGTTTGGACGTAGGCGCCCATCTCACCTGATCCTTGAAATAATGTCAGAACGCCAAACAGCATCTCAGTGACTCATCTGTGGTTTACCAGAAAACTCAAATGGCCTGATGGGAATTTCTTACGGAGCAAGAACAATGTTCTTGGACTCGATACGATGCCTCTTGCTTTCTGTGTTTTTTCTTAATAATAATCCAACTAACGCCTAAAATTAATAAAATACTGAGATTTATTCAACTCAAAATCCTGATTGGGGTGAACTGGATTCATAACCACAGATTTCCCTTCGTGTTTATGATGATTATTATCTTTTTCTCTCCATCTGGTTGTTATAAAGTCATTAAACTTAATAAGTTTGACTTGGGCCAAATGTGGATCTGCTGCTTCATTTATTTCTATCATTTATCAATTATTTTATAAACTGTTTAACTAAAATAAATTAATTTTAAACACATTTTAGTAGAACTTAAAATGCTTTTTTTTTTTTTTTCAAGAAAATCTTTAATGATCCAAAGATACTCGGTTTATTTGGAAAAAGATTTGTAAAAAAGTTGCACCCTTTTGGCTTTATTTTACGTCAGCCTCATCAACTATGATAATACTTTAAAACAACCACAGCTGCAACAAAGTGCTGTACATATAAAATCAAGAACATTTAAACGCATGAAAAATAAAACGGTTGTTAAAAACATTAAGATCAATAAAAACGTTTTAAAGTCACGTGATCATTTTAAAGGTTTCCTGCTGGTCCAGTTCACGTTTATCTTCAGTGACCATTTAAACCAGTCGTGTCCTCGTTTCCTTTCTCTTCTCCAACATTCGACATCAGCTCAGTTATTTTTTTATAAGCTTTGCAACTCTTTTCTATGTACATATAAAGTTGTATTTTTTTATAACTTTGACCTGATTGCTTCTCAATAAAGGTTCTGGTTTTCTGCTCTGAAATATGAACTTGTTTTTGACAAGGGTTCTTCTACTTTTTGACATTTTTTGCAGCTCCAACTTGTAAAATCCCACATTTAATCTGCACAAATACACTCGTCATTAGTCGTCTGTCTCATTAAAACATTTAAATATAAACTGAACAAACTCAAAATATTCAGATTAAATTTGAATGGTTTTCAGTCAGAATTTAACACAAGTTTTTCTTTATTTTTGGAGAGCGCTTAAGTGCAAAAGTTATTAAAAAGTTAGATTATTATGTAAAGGTACTCGTTGCAAGGTCATAAATAAAAGTGATTAAAATTTCATAAAGGAAAATATATTTTTCTTATATAATATACAAGGTTTTTAATGGTTTTGATTGCCCTTTTTTTGTACATGTGTATCTATAAATACCAAACACACATCATGCAATATTTGCTGTTTTCCCTGAACTCTAAATAAGTTTGAATTATGTTGAACCCTATGTATAATTTTTAATCAAGCGCACTAAAATCTTTCATATGTTGACAGCTATCATGGCTTTGTATGCAGTTAATTTTTGTTTACATTAAAAAAATATTTTTAAAGAGATGAGATTTGCTGAAGTCTTAAAGTTAATTTTTTAACAAGTTAATCATTGCATCCATTGTGCTCTCAGGTTAGCTACGGATAAGTTTAATGCCGATCAATCATGATTGACGTGTCCCCTGTCCAATCAGCTGCAAGCACACTGACACGCTCCGTTCGTCTGAGCGCTGGGGGCGGGGCTGTAGTGGAGGGGGCAGGGCGCAAGGTATCATGGAGGATCAGTAGGCAACTTGCGGCCAGCAGAAAAGGGCAGCGGCTGCTCTGATCCCCGGGACTTTCAGTTGTTCTTCGCTCGCTTTTTTTATCAACTACGACGCATATTTCGACATGGAAATGAAGAAGAGGATCACTTTAGAGCTGCGGAACCGGAGCCCGGCAGAGGTAAACGAATTAAGACTTTAATAACATGTTTATTGTCGCCTGAAATAGTCCGTGATGTGTGTCCGGAGTCCGGGCACGCTGCGCCCCCTCTGCCTCCTTCACGGACCCCGCTCGCTCTTCCGTCATTCTTCGGATAATTCGCCCGCTAAACTATTTTTAAAAAATGGATCATCTAATAATTGGAGCTTGCGCCGCAGCTTCGTAGCAGCGGTTTCAGCTGAATGAGGAGCATCTCACGCAGCTCGGTCCCGCCCGCCCCCCTCGCTCTCCGGTGAAATCCCGTCGTCTTATCGAGGCACAAACGATCAGCATCCGTCCGCCTGGAACCGAAACACGGTGGCGGAGCAGCGAGGCGAACCCCTCGGTCTGCGCAAAGCAGCGAGGCTTTAACACGGGGGGGTGAAGTCGGCTAAAATGTGCCAAAATGGTGTCAGAGCGACGGTGTTCAGATTAGCTGTCGGGGCTCGGATAAGCTCAACGACAACTGTCGGTTGGAGTCTCGTCCCCACCGAGCGGACATTTTAAGTCTCTGGCGGTTTGAACTTCGACGACTTCGGACTTGTTTCGTCGTGTTTTCTCACTTTTCCCAGCCCGCAGATGAATTCATGACACAACTCGTCGCGTTTTCATGATTATTTTATTATTATTATTTTTTATTCCACGCGTGCGGTCGGGGCGACCCAGTTCGGGCAGAGGTCGGTCGCCGCGTTGTAGTAACGCGTTACCTCGTTACAGAAAGCGGATTAGCTTTGGCGTCGATTTTATTTTCAGACAAAATGCCGCCGTTTCGAGCCGACACCGTCACGGACAGATTTAAAACGCCGCCGCAGCGGTTAGTTCGGGCGGGCTCTGCTGGGGCTTTGACCAAACCATGTAACGGGACAAGATGGCGTTACTCCCGCGCTTTAAAGTACCAGCAGCTTGGCCGTTGGTGTCGCACGGACGGTGCAAGATAAGTTTAATGTGCGTGTGTGATCTAAAACCAGCAGATCCGCGGCTGTCATGTTTTATGTATTGGAGGGAGCCGGCAGATGGTGAACGCAGAGAGTCCTCCTCCACCTCCTCCTCCTCCTGCAGCACCTCCGCTCTGCATGCAGATTATGGCGGTTTCAAGCCTGCGCACTGACGGCGGAGCTGCTGCGCTCACCCAGCTTATATAAGCAGGAGCCCCAATGAATTCTGGGAAATGAAAGCAACTCGCACCAAGTCCTTCACCAGCGGTGCTCCAGTTCATCAGAAGCACCAGACAAAAGCATGCATTGTTTTCATTTATTCACGCTTTGTCTGTTAGCGAAATATCTCGTAAACTACAGGACGGACCTCGATGAAACTCAAAACAGCAGCTGACGCTAAAAGACACAAAAATGGCCACGTTTCAAGACAATACGGATAACCTGAAAGTTGGAGTTAATGAGACTATGAATAGATGCCAGCCGCGGTGTCCAAAGTGTGGTCCGAGGGCCATTTGCGGCCCTTGGAGTAATTTTGTGCGGCCCACAACTGCAGTTTAAGAGCGGAGACATTTTAGTCAGCAGGCTTAAAAGGTCGATGCAGACTTTCTGCAAATTCATCGGTAATCCTTTTTTATATAACGTTTAGGTTTAACAGCAAAAACAATCTTCTCAAAATGATAAATATTAGGCAAAATGCAAACCTTTTTTTTTTTTTTTTTTTACTTCACGGTAGAAATCACCAAAAACCTTTACTGGTTTCTACCAGAAAGGAGACTTTTGGAAAACGTGTCTATATTGCAGTTGATAAAATAATTAAGAGGGAAATTTGACATTTTTAAATGAATATAACGTGGCATCATCTACATACGAGTTGATCAACTTTATCAAACCTTCTGTGAATCTGTTGCAGCGACTGATAGATGGACGATATTTCAGAACTTTTGTCTTTTCTCCAAAATCATGTTCACGTTGAGAGTTAAATTCACATTTCTGTGTCCCACGAGTCCTTTCATCTCGATAGTTTTGACCCACGTATGAAAACGTTTGGACGCCCCCGCATTAAGCGCCGGCAGACTGCTCTAATTTGTCGGATTTTAAATTGTTTTGTTGCGACTTTTAGAAATCGCTGCAGAAACTTTACAGAAAAACAAAGCACTAATCGACTCACCTGTGAGTTACCTGTTAAAGACATCAAACCCAGCTGGAGGTATCAGTAGAAACTACAGGGGTGCAGATGTTGAGTATCTGTCCTAAATAGGATGAAGTTTGATTTGAGGGGTTTTCATGTCTGGATAAGTATGGATCAAATCAAATATTTACACTTGTTCATACACTTGTTCTAGTGGTTCATAAACCACTAGAATTTTTAACTTCTGGAAACCAGCAAGAGACAGATCATGTTTTCTTATGAAATATCTCGTTTATCCTATTTGTAGGATCACAAAGGAAGATGTGATTTTATCCATTCGGACGACATTTAAACCCAAATTAAATAAATTAAAAAGGGGGGAATAATTTTGTCAGATTTTTAGTTTGAGGTGATCTAATTCAAATCTCTTGTGAAAATTGTTTTGCTTGAGCAAAAAGGGAAATTTAAATGTACTATTTCTTGAAAATAAAACTGAATAATCGTAGGTAGTTGTTTATCTTCCCAAAATGCATTGTGAAAACTACGTTTTTAAATGACAAAAACCTTTGCATAAACGTGCGGCTAATAGTACAGCACCACCGTACAAGAACGGTAAATTGCATTGTTTAATTAACTTTATTAACAAGCCTGTTTTCAATGTGTTTACTTGTTTTTGTTCGCAGATTGTGGAGTTGGTTGTGGACAACAGCCGCTCGGCTAATGGGGAGGTTGAAGGTCTGACGGACGGGTTCACAGCGCTCGAGTTCCTCAGCATGGTCAACGTGGGTCTCAGCTCTCTGGCTAAACTTCCCTCTCTGCCCAAACTACGCAAGGTAAAATAAAAACCTCTGGACTGGAGTAAGACCAGACCCTGTCAGCTGGTTGTGACGTTTATGGAGCGAAGCTGTAATGCACCAGTTTGTCCACTAGGTGTCGTTGTTGTGTTCTGTTTTCTGAGCAGCTTTAAATTATCTTTTATTTGAAGGTTTTGATGCGATTTCTTATCAATATGGAAAAGTTTTTTCTTCTGTTTTCTTGTTTGTTATTACCAATACTTTGAAAATTCCTTATATGAACTGATTTTTTGTGTGAATTCTGATTCTGTTTCATACTTTTCTCCTGTTTTTGTTTTTCTGTCGGTATTTTGCAGCATATTTTGTGCTGTTGTAGCCATTCTTACATCAAAACCTTCAGCTCGTTCAGGAGACGGATGCAATGACGTGTGGCTTTTATAACTTTTAACAAAATATTTACTTTATTTGCAAATATTTTTCTCAAAGAAACACTCTGAGAACACTGTTCTCTTTGAAATCTGCTTCATCGTACCGCCCTCTTTTTATGTTCTTGTGTTACTTTTAGTTACTGTTCTTCTTTAAGATTTTAGCTAGTCTTTTGCTATTTTTAGCAACTAGCTAACATTTAGCTACATTTAGCTTTCAGTAAGCCTATTGCTATTAGATTTTAGCTACACTTCTGATTATTTTGTTAGCCTTTTGCTACTTCTAGATTTTAGCTGGCATTTTGACTTTTTAAACTTTCAGCTTGCTTTTTGCTTCTTTTAGCTAGTCTTTTTCTACTTTTACTCTTTAACTAGCATTTTGATCCTGCTAGATTTTAGGTAGCATTTTGACTCAAAAAAGCTTAAAGATAAAAACAAACATTTGGATATTAAATTTTAGCTACTTTTCTGATTTTTTTTGTGCTAGGGTTTTGCTGGTTTTAGCCTTTAGCTACAATTGGCTTTAACCATTCCTTTGCAACCTTTAGCCTTTTTATTTCTTTAACTTGTACCTAGTGTTCTTTAAGCTTTACTGTCTCACTTTAAGCTTCAGCAGATTTCAGAATCCTTCAAATGTTTCTCTGGTTTGTTTCTACATATTTACTTGATTTATTTATTTAGCTGATGTTTTAGTTTTAGCTCTCCTGACTGCTCTGGACGTGTTTCTGATCATAGCTTCAGCTGTTCTGACCGTCTCTCCTCCTCCCCAGTTGGAGCTGAGTGACAACAGCCTGTCGGGGGCTCTGGAGACCCTCGCAGAGAAATGTCCTAACCTGACCTACCTCAACCTGAGCGGGAACAAGATCAAAGAGTTGAACACGTTGGAGGCGCTGGTCAGTCGGTTCTTCTTCTGCTCGTTTAAGCTTCAGCTGATGTGGATGTTTACAAATACTGACATGCTGCTTTCATCCCGCAGCAAAACCTGAAGAGCCTGCAGAGTCTGGACCTGTTCAACTGTGAGATCACGTCTCTGGAGGACTACAGAGAGAGCGTCTTCGATTTGCTCCCTCAGGTTACCTACCTGGACGGCTTCGATCAGGAGGACAACGAGGCCCCGGACTCCGAAGCCAACGATGAAGGTGACACATGTAGCGCCGCTCATCCTCGTTTTATCTTTGTAAACCTGAGGAAGTTTCCACCGTGACGTGATCTTGGCTTCACGGTTGTCTTCGTTCACAGATGAAGACGGCGAGGACGGGGCGGGGCCAACTGGCGATTACGGCGAGGAGGATGATGAAGAGGATGATGAGGATGGCTCAGAAGGAGGAGAGGTGGGGCTGAGCTTTCAGGTGAACCAGGGCAATCAGGTGGGCAACTCAGCCTTTAGGCTGTGGCTGGATCCATAGCAGAACTCCCTTCCCATCCCATCATGCACCTGTGCTGAGCGACATGCCTTTAGCCTGTGGCTGGATCCACTGTAGACATCCCATCCCATCATGCACCTGTGCTGAGCGACATACCTTCGGCCTGTGGGTGGATCCATAGCAGAACTCCCCTCCCATCCCATCATGCACCTGTGCTGAGTCATACAGAGAACAGAGTTCTGCTTCAAATTATCGAGAAGCTGCTGTAAATAACAACAATGATGCTAACAGTTTATTACAGAACGTTAGCTGTTACCATGGTTACACGGCTTCAGTCTTTGACAGTGAGAGTCAGGACTTTTAGTTCAGTTCTCTGTCTGGTTTGATGATGATGATGATGATGAGGTTCTGTTGGACTTTTTGTGTCTAATCGCAGCGTTAGTTGTTTCATGATAATCTCAGCTGAGCGTCTTTCAGCTGAAGGTAAACAAACATGTCTGTGTCTCCCCGTGTCTGTAGGAAGAGTACGACGACGAGGAAGACTATGCAGAAGAAGAAGGTGAGTTGAAATACTCCAGCTGTAGTTGGAGCCCGGCGCCGTGCTGCAGGCTGTAACCGCTCCGGTCTCTGTCTGCAGAGGAACAGGCAGGCGCTCACGGACAGAAGAGGAAGAGGGACGTAGAAGACGAGGGGGAGGATGACGAGGACGACGAGGACAACTAGTCCCGCGTCTGACCGTTGTCCGTGTTTCGTCTCTTCACGTCTTTGTCCGTTTCAGTCCTACTGGACCCGACCTCCATCCGACAGCAGCTGCACCGCTGCGTCCTCAGATAGTTGGTTTCAGTTTGTTGTAGAATCACGTGTTGTTTTTAGAGAAAATATAAAATTTACAGAAAGATTTTATCTGAACTTTTACCTGCTGGTTCCGACCGAACACTCCACACGTTTCCCTTTAAAACCCGGTCCAGGTTCCGAGTCTGGCTCCCTCCGGCCGCGGCAGCTCCTCGTACGAGTTCATTCTTCAGGTCCTCAAGCACAGAAGATCATTCAGAAAAGGATTGTTTTTTATTTTCTTGACCTTCAGAGACAACTTTTAAAGTCCTGCTGACCTCTTGTGCCGACTCAGCATTTGTTGGCTTTTTTAAAATCGTAACACAAAAGTCTGGATTTGTTTTAATCGTTTTTAATCCGTCACTCAGCTGGTGCTTAATTTAACACAAGAACGAGGAGGTAATATTTATATCAAAGTACCAGCACCAAGAAAAGCAGTTTTCTCTGTGAACAAACCTTTAAAGTCGACTTCACAGCAAACCGAGTCCCTCCTCTTTTGTCAGAAGTAAACGATGGTACTGGAGCCTGATCTGTTGGAGAAACCCTCAGTGTGTCTGCAGCCCGTGACTAAACACGTCCGTTTTATTTATTTATTTATTATCAACCTGTGTGTGTGTTTATAACCTGCGTGCTGGAACTGTTCCTCTGTCTGAAGGCCACTTCATGGTTTTAAGAAAACGCGCAGTCGTTCCTAAAAGCAGGGGAGGTGCGTACACACTGAGGCACAGGTACGCCCAGTGACTACCACACCTGTGGCTCACGGGCGTCCAGCTGTGCGTCCTCCCTGCAGCTGTGTTCGGCTTCTTGGATGTGGAGTTTCACACATCAAACAAAAACCATGAGCTGGCCTGCAAAAAGGTAGCAGTACACAAAACAGCCCAGTACATACCTGGTACTTGTCTGGTATGTACCAAGCCGTATTATCAAGTGACTGTTACTCTGTACATATAGACTATATACCAAGTACACATCCAGTAAATACCACGTACATATCCTTTAAGTACAGGGTAACAAGTCTTTTCATAATTCAGCCTGGTCTCAGCTGGCACTTGATAAGTACCAAGTACTTACCCAGTACATACCTGGTAATCACTTGATATGCAGTTAGTATATAACCAGCATATATCTTGTAAGTGCTTAGTACCAGGGACTTACCTGGTAAGTATCAGTTATTTACCTGGCATGTACCAAATACTTACTGGAGCATACTTCGTAAGTATCCAGTACATTCTTGGTAAGCACCAGATACTACTTAATACATACTCAGAATATAACCAGTAAATGTCCTGTAAGTACCATATATGTACCCAGTATACACAAGTCTTGACATTGCAGCTCGTTAAGTACTCGGCTGTATTATGTATTGCTACAGAGTGAGTGATCTGTAGGATTGTCTGCCTCGCAGTTGTGTTAAAACCTTTGTGTGTTTTCAAGTTTGACCTTTGCAACACCCGTGGACCCGGGTCCTCAGGAGCCACCGGCTCGGCCGTTTTCTCTCGCTGTCCCGAGCGTCAAACAGAATCCTCGTGGGTTTTTATCGACAGCTGGACAAAGATGGACGCTGAGTCCAGGAGGTGCTGCGGACACGTCAGTCAGCTCCCACTGAGGAGAGCGGCTCCTCCGTGGGCCCGTCACGTTCTCCAGTCGCGGGTCACATGGAGTCCTTAGAGATGTGCCGACCTGCTGGACCTCAGGTCCACAGAACAGATTCTGGTCCTGGTGTTCCTGTGTGTGTGTTTCTTTTTAGGTTTCTTGTAGAGGCAGTGAGCGAGCGGAACAAAGTGTTAGCTTTGTGGATTTTTTTTCTGTTTTAAAGTGTTTTTTTTGTTTGTTTGTTTGTTTGTTTGTTTATGTGTTTCTTGATCAATGGCTGTTAATATTTTTATCCAATAAATAACAGAGTGACTCATCTTCTAACTCGTAGTTCACCTGCAGGTGGTTCGGATCAGGCCAGCTCTTAAAGAACACACGTTATCATTTCATCCTCTCGCCTCCTCTGAGTCCAGCTAACAAGCTCTGCTGTATTTAAGTACACACATGTTTATTAAAATATGCGTTTTATTTGTTGACAATGTTAGAAAACACACCCTGTTTCTCTTTACTGTGTTCAAGATAAACTTATTTTGTTCAACTGAGTCTTAACCATTAAAAAACATCAGTGGGATCAAAGTAAGTTTTAAAATGGTCAGCTCTAAAAGAAAACTGCATAAAACAGTTTTGACAACAAATATAAGTTGTCAAAACTAATAATTCAAACAAATACATGTGCAAATAAAACATGCACATAAAAGATATTTTGTAACATAACAGTTTAAAATAAAAGTCAAATGTGTCTAAAAATGAGCCAAAATACAAATTTAAAACTACAAACTGATTTGTGTCCCTGAAGGCATCATGAATTTAGAGTTCACAAATAAATAAATATAAAACCTGCTGATAAACAAAATAGAAAGATGGTGGAGAAGAAATAAACTTTTTTTTAATATATATATATTTTTGTTCAAAACCAGAGAAATTAAAGTTTTTCTCTATTTGGGTTAAATATTTAGGAAAGTTAATTTCTGCCACTTTAAAAAAAAAAAGAGACAATAGCTTAAAATTATAGTATCATATTTATGAGGTTGTAAGGTTTATTTATGAGCTGCTATGCAAAATTTATGAATTCTCATTTCATGAGTATAAGATAATTTCTCATTAATATTTTATAAAATACTGAAAATCAGCTAAAGCTAAAATCTAATACTAGCTCCTAATTATAGTTCCTTTAATGTGAAATATAAGACTAAGCATATTATTATAATGAGATGTTATATTTCTGATCAACTATTTTATGATTTAGTATTTAATTATGACATGTTCAAATCATAATTTTGAGATTTTATCTCATAATTATGATTTTTAGGTTTTTATTTTCCTCTGTGTGGCAGAAAAAGGCTTCCCTAAATATTAATCTTACTTGTTACATTTTGTTTATTTGTAAATAAATCTTTATTCTTAGTAGTTTGGGGATGTTTGTATTTGTTTGTTTTGATAATCAGCTGTTTTTAATTGGCTGAACATATTTGTATTTTTCATTTAAAGCATGTGTTCACAGTTTGTCCTGCAGGGGGCGCTGTTGTCCTGATCTTCAGTTTATGAACGGCTGAAATTAAAGGAACATTTCACAGCTTTTGTCTCTTAGTCCACCACATCAAAGACAAACCAGCCTTTAGTTTACTTTATTATTTTCATTTTGTCTTTTGAGTGCTCTGCGTTTTGCCTTGAAATAAGTCAGTTTTCAACATTTCAGCTGTGCATCAACAGGAAGACGAACAGAAAAGCCCTGTTAGGAGACAAGTGAGCAAGGAAAGGAAGCAAGGAGGTGAGATTAATCAAGCTGCACTCCCATCACCTCTGATACCTCCTCCTTTCTCCTCTTCTTGATCCAATTAGTAGAATTTAAACAGCTCAAACAGATAAATTGTCCTTTAATGCAGGCAACAGCTGCGACACACACACACACACACACACTGAGCCCCTCTGGGAGCTTCCTGTCTGACCTCCTCCCAGGAGGAAACACTTCACACTGCTTATTATTCAGCTGCTTCAGCGAATGCAGAGGCTTGGATTGGTCAGAGGAGGTCCGGTGGTTACAGATGTGTCGTCCATAATGATAAACTGGGTGTGTGTATTGGGGGGGGGGGGGGGGGGGGGGG